TGGTGGCTCTGGGGCCATGTGTGGAGGAGCTGGCTTTGGCAGCAGGAGCCTCTATGGTGTGGGGAGCTCCAAGAGGATCTCCATCGGAGGAGGCAGCTGTGGCATTGGGGGAGGCTATGGTAGCCAAATTGGAGGAGGCTTTGGTTTTGGAGGAGGAGTCGGCAGTGGCTTTGGATTTAGTGGTGGAGCTGGCTTTGGTGGTGGCTATGGGGGAGCTGGATTCCCTGTGTGTCCCCCTGGTGGTATCCAAGAGGTCACCATCAACCAGAGCCTCCTCACCCCTCTGAACCTGCAAATCGACCCCACCATCCAGAGGGTGAGGACTGAGGAGCGTGAGCAGATCAAGACCCTCAACAACAAGTTTGCCTCCTTCATCGACAAGGTAAGATGTGGTTCTTGCTAGAGCAGTCTACACAGGAGTAGACTTGAGGGAATGCCAAAGGCAGAGGTCTCAGAGGGAACATAAATTAGGCTTTGCTCAAACATGGCCATTGTTTCTAGTTGACTCTGCCCTGGCTTTGTGCTCCTCTTTAGTTAGGCTGGCAGCTGGCAATCAGGGTCAGAGTTCCTCTCCTCCAGAGGTTGCCCCATAAGGGTGTCTGATTCCAGCAGGCTGATATTAGCTGAAGGCTCACAAAGAAGGATTGTACTGAGACAGAAGTCTCTATAGTCCAGTTTGGGAGCCATCCTAGGTTCACACAATGAACTGAACCACACCCCAGTGAACACTGCCTATACTGCCTGTGCCCTTCCTGACAGCTCTGCCTTCCTTACGGGGATGATGTTGGGAGCTTCACTCTGGTTGTCCCTGTAGACCCAGAATCAGGTACTACCCTGAAGGGGCCTAGACAGACAGCCTGAGAGGAGGGTCACACTAATGAAGGGGTCACTGAAGAATGAAACTCAAACTTCTTCTCAAACTCTGCCCCTCCAGGTGAGGTTCCTGGAGCAACAGAACAAGGTCCTGGACACCAAGTGGACCCTGCTGCAGGAGCAGGGCACCAAGACTGTGAGGCAGAACCTGGAGCCATTGTTTGAGCAGTACATCAGCAACCTCAGGAGGCAGCTGGACAGCATCATTGGGGACAGGGGCCGCCTGGACTCAGAGCTGAGGAGCATGCAGGATACAGTAGAGGACTACAAGAACAAGTGAGTTAACAAAAGAAGAATTCAGGTTGCCAAAGTTCATGATAATGAAGGCCCAAATCTAGACCCAGACTCCATGAATTAAGGAAGCTCAATCATAATGATGAAATGACAATTTATTGCCAAAGAGCAAGAGAATAAGACCCTGGATGGTTGTAGGAGGCGAGGAGAGAGAAAAGGAATGAATTATTCAATAACAACAAATTCATCTTTGGCATGATTTGAACATATTGCATTTATAGAAGTTAGGGTAGGGTCAAGGGCTGCCTGTGATGCCATCTACCCACTGGCTACAATGTGTCGAACCCTCCCTCCCTCTTGTAGATACGAAGATGAAATCAACAAGCGCACAGCAGCAGAGAATGAATTCGTGACCCTGAAGAAGGTGAGCTGACTAAGTCACAGGGGTGGTTTCTCTGCTGATGGAGAGAAATGCTTTGCATGTCTGGTCCATTCGAGAGAATGGTTGCCCAGGAGATGGAGGAAAATAGGCCGGGCAAGAGAGTTAACCAGATTCCATGTTGTTAACTCTTTCCTCAGGATGTAGATGCTGCCTACATGAATAAGGTTGAACTGCAAGCCAAGACAGACAGTCTGACAGATGAGATCAACTTCCTGAGAGCTCTCTATGATGCAGTAAGTCACCTCACACTCTCTGTCTCTGTCTCTCTCTGTGTCTCTGTCTCTGTCTCTGTCTCTCTCTCTCTCCCACTCCCTCTATTTTTCTCCCTCTTCTAATCTGCCCCATTTCCCTTTATTTTCTCCTGTGCAAAATGAGAGTGGGGTGTTGGGAACATCTGTAATCCTCACATCCAAAGCTAATGTTGCCTCTTTCTGTTCTGTAGGAAGTGTCTCAGATGCAAACTCACATCTCAGATACCTCTGTGGTCCTCTCCATGGACAACAACCGTAGCCTGGACCTGGACAGCATCATTGCTGAGGTCAAGGCCCAATACGAGGAGATTGCTCAGAGGAGCCAGGCAGAGGCTGAGTCTTGGTACCAGACAAAAGTGAGTATTGAATGGAGGCTGATCAAGGGTATCTGGGACTCAAAATGTATCTGTAAGTCTCTGTCTGACATCATTCGAGATTAAAGAGCTACTGAGAAGAACCTGGGATCCTGTAATAGCAAATGGACCTTGCACTTGTGTTATAGAGTTATGTTGTAGTCCAAGGATCAAGCGAACCCAGAGGTGGATGCAAAGTTGCCATAAATGGTGTCCATGCTCTCTTTGCTTGAGCTGTACTAAAGATACTGGGCCTCATGCGATTACACAGAACATGTTCAGTCTCCAAGAGAACTATGTAGTCCTGTTCTTCATCAGCTTCCCTTGTGGAAAAGCCAAAATCCAAGGATAGTTGATGCCACTTAAGCGTGAATTTGCTTTTGCATGTAAAACTAACATAAATGTTCTTTCTTCTATTGACCCTCAGTATGAGGAGCTGAAGGTCACAGGGCGCAGACACGGGGATGACCTGCGCAACACCAAGCAGGAGATCACCGAATTGGACCGCAAGATCCAGAGGCTGAGAACTGAGATCAACAACGCCAAGGAGCAGGTAGGATAGACAGAAAAATTCAGAGGTTGTTGTCCATTGTTTCTGATCCTCTAGACTCTCGCTCACAAGGAACAAAGATCTTGGGCTCACCCTCTCAAGAGAACCACACCTCAAGTTTGTTTATCTTACTCTCTCCGCCCAGTGTGCCAAACTGCAGGCTACAATTCTTGAGGCTGAATTGCGCAGGGAGATGGCCCTCAAGGATGCCAGGGGCAAGCTGCAGGGGCTAGAGGATGCCACACAGAAGGCCAAACAGGACAAGGTCAGGATGGTGAAGGGGTACCAGGAGCTCATGAATGTCAAAATGTCCCTTGATATGGAGATCGGCACCTACAGGAAGCTGCTGGAAGGAGAGGAGTGCAGGTGAGGGCATTCACCCCTCCCCCAGCCCCCGAGGACACCTCCATGATGCCAGGCACTGAGCACAAGATGAGGGAGCACCAGCTGTGGCCACAATGGCTCCATTCAGGAACCCTCTGCTGGGGATTCTCTTTGAACCATCACCAGACTGGGGGTTCCCACAGGGACTGAGGTGATGTCTCCCTGGTTCTCACCTGCTCTGTTCCTCTTCCAGGCTGAATGGTGAAGGCGTTGGACCAGTCAACATCTGTAAGTACTCTGCTTGCTGCCTCCCCTTGCCCTGCCTTGTTCCTGGCTCACTGGACAGAGTGGCTCACCGTGTCCCTGTACCCTTCCCTCCTCCACAGCTGTGGTGCAGTCCACCATGTCCAGCGGCTATGGCAGCTCAGGTGGTGCCAGCAGCAGCCTGGGCCTGGGAGGAGGCAGCAGCTACTCCTACAGCAGCAGCCATGGCCTTGGAGGTGGCTTCAGTTCTGGCAGTGGCAGAGGCATCAGCGGTGGCCTCAGCTCCTCTGGTGGCAGCTCCTCCACCATCAAGTACAGCAGCACCTCCTCCAGCAGGAAGAGCTACAGGCACTGAAGTCCCTGCCCCCAGAGCTGGTCCCTGACCCCAGACCCCTGGCTGCAGAGCCCTGTGCTCAGGGGCTGTCCCTGCTGGCCTCCCACCTCTGCCCTCTCGTTAGGGCTGGGGAGCTGAGTCCTTGTTGCTCCTCTGTCTTTCCCGCTGGGTCGCCATGACTCATCTTCTGATTGTCATCCTCTGACTTCACATCATAGTTCATTCACATTTGGTGCTTCAAGTTGTATTTAGGTTTCCAGGCTCCTGCCTCCCTGGCTCTGTCTCTGATGCTGCTTGTGAAATGGTGTCCTTGTCCCTTTCATCCATTCTGGAAACCATTGTCTCGGTCCTACTCAAGAAAACCGGAGCTTTCCTTAAGTTTCCAGTGCCCTGAGAAAAGCCCAGCTTCAATGTCACGAAGCTCTCTGGCAGTACCTGTGATAGCCTAAGTCAACAGTCCTGTGATGTATGGAGTCTGTGCTTATGTGACCTCTCCTCTGCTCTTTGCTTTCTTGAAATTGCTAAATAAAGCAGGTTTATAACATAATGACTTCCTCCATTTTTTTGTATTTTTTTTGTCGCAAATTGTTTTACATAGAAAGTCTGCAACCTTGATAGATGAGGTCCTTTTAGGGTATATTTACTGCTCACATTCCAAGTTCTATATGTCTTTATCATAAATATATATATTTCAAATTTATGTTTATGTTTAATTTTAATACATTTAAATTAAAACATAATTACACCAAATTCCCTCTTTATTTTCCACCTCCTTTTAGGTACCATTACTCCAAATCCTCCCATGGTCCTCCACTTTTCAAATTCATAGCTTTTTTGGAGAGCCTATATTTCCTCACTGTCATATGACAATTTTAACACATATGTTCCCCCATGTGTTTCACTCCCCTTCTTTAGAGAGAGTTGACAAATGTGAGTTGATTGTTCCTTCCCACGTGAATTGTCTCCCTGTCAGTGAGAACAAGAATCTGGCAGACAGTTAGTGTACACTTGGCTTTAACCGCCCTTATCAGGAGTGAGCGGTGAGCTCTCCCTGATGTGATCACCGGCACCTCTGCCCCTCTGTACACACTCAGCCAAAGCATTCGGTGGAGAAGCACATCCTTGCACCACCATCGCAAGAGCCCTTTGACAAGAGAAGAAGGCATTTGTTTTAGAACTACAGCTGTTCATGAGCAAGAAGCTTGCAGACAGCTAGAGACCAGTCAATTAATATTGCTTCTTCTGAACTGGAACTGCATTTCTGGAAATGTGCCCTGAAGAGACAGCACAAACACAGCATGGTATTCAGACATGCCAATCATCCCACCTACACCTGGGGAAGACTAGGGATATTCGAGGACACTCGACCTAGTCAAATTAAGGAAGCCAAGAATCCTGAAGCAAATCCTGAATTTATCATTTTGGGACACGTAAAGGCTTTATGAGAATATCTCCCTCCTTCTCATACGTCTAACCATCCCCTTGGATATTCCAAGAACCTGAGTTTCTATGTGGCTCACAGCTCACAACCTTCTCGTAACTCTATGTAGAGGATCTGACCAACTCTTCTGGCCTTCAGGGGAATCAGGCACACAAGAGGTTCACAGACATTCATTCAGGCAAAACACCAGGACACATTTTATTAAGTTATTAGGAGAAAAAGGATTATGGGATAATGATAAGTTCTGTTAAACTATTCAAGATCTATGACCTACATAAAACAAGAGTTAAATATATTTACAAATGTGAATAATCAAAATACTTAAAAAATAATACTAACAAGAGTATAGGAAAATCAATCATTTCTGTTATATTTAAGTTATTTTATGTATTGGACTAGTTTTGTGAATCTAAGTATGTGTAACATGTGTGAGTGTGGTGCCCTTAGAGGTCAGAAGAAGACATGGGATTCCCTAGAACTGGAGCTATGGATGGTTATGATCGACCATGTGGATGTTGGGAGCTAAAGTCAGGTCCTCAGCAAGAGCAACAAGTGTTATTCATCAGTGAGCCATCTCTACAGCTCCTTGAATCATTTTTAATGTAAATACATATATATACATATGTAAAGACATATGGTTATGTCATACATATACACTAAACAGCCTATCTTTAGGTATAATATTGAATTAATTACTGAATAAATCATATTTTTTGAGATCTGCTTTCAAGTACTATAGGGTTGGTGAGCGAACTGATTGGAAACATGAAAAAATAAGGCTGGTGTGAGCTGTTTGGTGGAAACTGGTGACAGGGGTGTGGAACAACATGTGGTTGACTTCTCTATCTGTTGAGATGGGGTCTAAAGGAACACAGGTCACAGTTCACATTCCTAATCACGAAGGTCGGTGACAACCTCTCTGTTGGCCTAAGAGGACAGTTGGTCTCCAGGATGTCCGTGGGAGAGGGGCAGGCAGGAAGCAGAGGGATCTCAGCACATTCAGCAGGACCTGCAGAACCTTTGAGTCGGTGACTAACTGAGATACAGTGAATGAACAACTGATTTACTGTACCCAAATTAAGTTATAACTGGATGCATGATAATTTTCCCTGACTAAAGGAAGCCAAAACCACAACACGAATACTTCATAACATTTCTGAAGAATCTAGGTGTGAGCTCACTGTGTGTAATTCCCTGCCCTTCCCACTCTGCAAGCTCACTTCAGGACCAAGCCCAGCCCATCTATACTATATATAAGCAGCTGCCCAGAGCCTATCACGCTCATCTGCTCAGCTCTTCCCT